TTAGGAGTTAATTTTACGTATTTCTCTACGAACTCTTTGTATTTTATCTAAATTTTTTGCCAGCAATTACAAAGTCCTAGTATTTATAGAAAATCAGGCAGATTTTCCTGAAGCATTGTGGCAGACATTCATACCTACATTTACTTTTCAGGGATCTGCTAGTTTCATAACTGAGGAAATAGTTCCCAGGGACAACTACCTAGCTGCCTTCTGTGATTACAACCATAGTTGTAGGTGTGACTGTCTTTTTTTTGTTTTTGGTACCGGGCATTGAACTCAGGACCTTGAGCTTGCCAGGCAGGCTCAGTGCTCCTGAGCTAAATCCCCAGCCCATGACTATCATTTTTGCTGACATCATTGTGCGTAATTTAAGGATGCAGTGCTCATTTGGTAGTCACTTCAGGGCAGGCTTGTTGCGTGCACTTTGGAGGTGAGAGTGACAAGCAAGGCTTGCTTTTTGTGGTCTTTTTGTGAGCTAAGGTGCAGATCATGACTCTTGCCAGGCACTACTTCTTTTGCTATTAAAAGCCATTCTGTAATGGAGAATTTCTAGCTGGCCTCATTACGTCTGCATTAACAGGGTTCTGGATAAGGGTTAGGTTTCTTTGTTTTGCTTACTGAGACCGGCTCTTGCTATGTAGTTCAGGCTGGCCTTGAACTCACTACATAGCCTAGGCTGGCCTCGAACTTTTGGCAGTCCCCCTGCTGTAACCTACCTCCTGAGTGCTGGGAATATAGGTGTGTACCACCATGTCTGGCTAGATTTACATTTTGATGGGGGAAACCAGGGGCAGTGATAGAGATCGGACATAGAGTTGGTGAGAATGCCATACTGAGAGAGCAGTGATATGAATGGGAGGGGCATCCACATGGAACAGAAATGTTCCTCTGTTGTATTATTTCTCTGTGTTGAAGGTGTTACAGTGGAGCTGGTTATGATTTTTCAGCCACATGTCTCCCCTTTTGGCCTTGGGTTTCTTAAAGACCAGTTTCTTAAAATTTATTGAAGCAGTTAGATATTTGAAGATGGGTTACTGCTCATAGCTTTTGAGCTGGACATACCTTCTCAGGATGCACTATGACCATTCTTTTTGATGAGATTCTCTGTGATTGTAGGGGAGTTTACTCTAGAACTAATTAGCGGAGAGGCACTTAGTTCCCAGATAGTTATTTTATATTTTAGGACTTAGAGAAGAAACTATGTTCCCTGTAACACGTGAAGAAACTTTAGTCCATTTAGAACAAGTCCTTTCGTTGTGTTTCACTGAGATTATGGGATGGCTTTCTCTAGGCTGTTTCCTTATCTGTAAATGTGAATGGATATCTTACTTTCAGAACTATTGTAGGATTAACCATGTACTACATATAAAGCTCTTTGCACAGTACCTGTGTGCTGTACACAGTGACCATGCAGTAAGTGTTGCTTGCTTCTGCTACTCTCACTGTTATTAGGGGGTTGTGAATAGATACTCCCTGGAAGTAGGCCCATGTTTCTCCTATCCAAAGCACTGCCTAAACAGTTTATCACAGACCCAGTCTTCCTCTTCTTTTTGTTGAGAGTCCCTGAGATTCCAGAGAGATTAAACCAACAACAAAAATGGCTTGTGTTAGCTTTTATTTTTAGCTGGTCAGTTCCCCTTGTAATGCAATGTTTTTGATAAAGTGCTTAGCAAACCAGTGAGGTGATACAAACTTTAGATCTCTAATTTTTTTTTTTTAATTGAGACAGGGTCTCCCTATGTAGTTCAGGCTCATTTTGAACTATGTAGCCCAGGCTGGCCTCAAACTCACAGCAATCCTCCTCCCTCAGCCTCCTGAGTGCTGAGTCTACAGGCATCCACCACCACACCCAGCCTGATCTCTGATTTCTAATGCAAGTAATTTTTGTAATCCAAATAATGACTAATTGGCTTGTTTTCAATAAGTTAAAACTGAACCGTGAGTTAAATTGTCAGATAAGATGATTATAAAAATGTATGTATTTTTGTATAAATTCTTCCCCTTCTGTTTGCAGACCTCATGGCAGCCTTAGTCAGGATATGGTGTTGGGTATTTAATTTCTTCGATGGATTTACAAAGTTGTATTGAGAATCAAAGGCTTAATTTATTTACCTAGACTAATTTAGGTTTATGATCTTTCTTGCTGTAAAGCCATAAGCTTGGTGTCGTAGTTGTGGTACATTAGTCACTTTTTGCTTCTTCTAGTAGTGTCAGGGTCTCTTGGCTTGGCATCTGCTGTGCTGTGGTTCAGCTTCAAATGGCACATCATAGTGTGCCTGGTGCTTGGTGAGACGATGTCCAGGTTACCTAGAGATTAAAGCCCTATTTAAATACAGGGTTATGTCTATCCTTATTAAAATTGAATCTTCTGAATTATAGGGAGCCAGCAGTTGAGTTAGGCATAGAGACCTGCCTCAAAGAGTCCTGCCTAGGTTAGGGAGTGGATCCATAAAGGTTTAATGAGCGCTCTTGACTCTCCTCCATCACTCGGCTTAAGTATTATATGTTTATTTGATTAACCAGCGTTGTGTTGTATGGAATATTGCTTGAAATAAATAACCCACTGGGAAGACAGAGTATGGGATATTTTTAACAGTTGATAAAGTCAGAAGTATAAAGTTCTTTTAATCTTTTATTGAAAACAACTCTGAATCACTTTTTTTTTGGTTCCAGGGATCGAACTTGGGACCTTATGAATCCCTTTTTAAGGCTGTTTGTTTTGGCTTGGTTGTCTTATATTTTAACTCCTAATGAAGCTTTTTTATAGAATTAGATAAGTTGATATAAAGGTTCATGTGAAAAACAAACATGCAGGAATGGTCAGGAAAACATTAAGAAATCAAACCTACAAGCAGAGTTTTACATGGTGACACATACCTGTAATTGCAGCTGCTCAAGAGGCTGAGACAGGAAGATTACAAATTTGAGGCAAGCCTAGGCATCTTTGTAAGACTCCTTCTCAGGATGAAAAAGGCTGGAATGTACCTCTGGTAAAGCATCCCTGGGCTCCATCCCCAGGCCTGGAGGAAGGGGGAAGCCTCTGATTAGAACAGAATGACACTCGTATCTGAAGAGACAACAGGACGGTGGAATGGGATAGAGAGCCTGGGAGTAGACCAAGAACACAGGAAAATTTAGGGTGTGGTAAATCAGGAGGGAAATAGGAATTTTCTTCTCTCTTTTTTTTGTTCTTTTTAAAAAAAATGTAATCCAAGCAGATACTATTAAAGAAGATATAAAATATACTTCTATGAAAAAATAAAATTTCATGACAAAATAGAGAATAACAGTAGTTAGTATACTGTGTATCATGATTTTGAAAGAATGGCCAAAATGTTACTCAGAGTACACATTATAGGCAAAAAAGATGCTTAAAGGGCAAACAAAGGGCAAAGCTTTCACAAAGAGGGATTTTAAAAAATGAATTATACTGTGCCAGTGACTAACCATTTGGAAAGTATAAGATTAGCTGGGTGTGGTGACACAGGCCTGTAACCCTGAATCCTCACACGCTCAATGTGGTGACACACACCTGTCACTGCATCTCCTTGAGGCTAAGGTAGGATGGTCACAAATTCAAGTCCATTCTGGGCAGTTTTAGCCACTCAGCAGGACCATCGCAAAACTTAAAAAAAAAAAAAAGCAGGTCAGGAATTTAGCTCAGTGGTTCCTCAAGGCCATGAGCCCAATTCCCCAGAACCAGAAAAAAGAAAAAAAAGTTGTAGCTCAGTGCAAAGACCCTGGATTCAGTCCCTAGTTATTGTAAACAAGACAAAACAACAAAAAAAGAGAACAGTGCTTTACATCATACATAGAGGAAAAACTCCACATTTTAGATTAGGGATCTAAATTGAAATGGAACTATATTCTAGAGGAAAATGTGGGTGAATACTAGAGATAATAAAGGAAATGATTAATTTTGTGCAGTGTGTAGCATAGTACTTTGGGTAAGTGGGGATTTCATTAACAGGGATAAGGCAGGTATGCTCCTTACCTCTGCTGCTGTTCAGCATTGCACTTAGAGGTTTAGAAAGTGTCATTGGGTAAGAGAAAGCAGTTGTGGAAGCAGAACTGGTGAAGAGTCAGCAGTTGTCTTTTGTAGGTAACTGTGGTGCAGACTAAGTGTCCCTTGTCTGACATGTTTGGTATCAGAAGTGTTTGGTTTTTAGATTTTGGAATATTTGCATGTACATAATGAGATGTCTTAGGGATGGGACCCAAATTTAAACATGAAGTTCTTTTATGTTTTATATATATACCTTTTCCACATATTTTGAAGGTAATTGCTTTGACTTAGTTCATCATTGAAACCAGGTGTAAAATTGTTACTTTTGGCTTCATATGGCACTCAAAAGCTTTCAAATTTAGGAATGCTCAACCTGTGTGTTTTAGAAACATGATGAAGAATCAATAATAGATTTAACTCAAGTGATGAATTCAGTAAGGTAACAAGATACAAAATCAACATACAAAATCCAATAGCTTTTGTATCACAAATAATCAATTAAAGGATGTTTTGTTTGTTTTTGCTTTGTAGTGCAAGCCGGTCTTGAACTCACTATATATCTCAAGCTGGCTTCAAACTCGAGGTGATCCTCCTGCCTCAGCTTTCTGAGTGCTGGGATCACAGGCCTCTGCCACCACACCTGGCTCCATTAGAGGACTTGCTAAGGGAAAGTCTCCCCTGAAATCCCTATTTATATAATCAACTTGGGAAGTTATCAAATATTTATTAAAAATGTAAATAGAAATGTGTAAAATCACTTAGAAACTTTATTTACAACACTCCTGAAAGATATAAAAGTAGACTCAAACAAATGAGAAGATAGCTCTTAATCAGGGGGCTTAATAGTATTAAAATGTCAGTTCTGTTAATTTATTAATTAGCGCAATACTGAAATACAAAAATATTAACAGGCTTGTTGCTAGGGAGACAAATTGATAAGATCACACGGAAAAACAAACTTGTAAGAATTTTTAACAGAGGTCCTTTTCTTTAGGATAACTGGGATGATGATGAAGACGACAAAAAAGAGGAAGCCGAAGTAAAACCAGGTGAGCTACTGGTGGTGCTCCTCTGTTCTTAGTTTATATATCGGTAGGCATTTGGTGCTTAGATTAAATTACAGAATCCTCACAAAGTTGAAAATGTTGGTGTTTTGAAAGCAGTCATCTTTCCATTCCCCCTTTCTTCTCTTTTGATACTTGGCTGTTTTTCTGGTTTTGTGCTGGTTATTGATTGCTAGTAGGAGAGAGTAGAGAATGTGACATTATAGTTGAATGATCTGTCTTGTTTACAAGATGGTAGTGGTGGGGTTTATGGAAATGTTTGGATCCTAGGGTTCATATTAGAAAAAGAAAGAACCCTAGAACTTTCTCACTCTTGCTTTCCAGGACATCACCATATAAATGTGAAAGTTGGGAAAGGTTTGGTCTCTTTATGTATTCAGTTATGTCTGTCTCACCCATAAACTGACAGGTATTCAGTATAATTGGAGAGTAGTCAATATAATTGTGAATGAAATATTTCTTTACTTTTAGAAATAAAAATTTCAGAAAAGAAAAAAATAGCAGAGAAGATAAAAGAGAAAGAACGGCAACAGAAGAAAAGGCAAGAAGAAATTAAAAAGAGGGTAAGTACTGTTCATTTTCTAAGATATGAATACATACAGAATTCTTATTTTTTTGCGTGGTACCGGGGATCGAACTCAGTACCTTGTGCTTGCCAGGCAGGCACAGCGCCTCTGAGCTACATTGCCGGCCAATGTACAGAATTCTTACATTAGTAGTGGTACAGTGTCTAATAGGCTGCAAATATTATGCAGCTATTTGAAGGGCTCTATAAAGACTATAAATGGGTACCCTAAGATAGGGGAATCCCAAAGAGATTGACTGTGGTTTTTACAGAAACAGAACACAGAAGCTTTATGTATTAGAATGTGTTTCTAAGTTTTCACAGTCAGGAATAGTCATGATTGCCCAGTGAATACAGTCAGATGATTTTCTAGTCATGATTATCTTGTTTATCTGCAGGGTACATAAGGAGTAAAATAAAAGTATTCATTTCTGTGCTACTATATAAATGTTTTTGGTTTTATTTGGACCAGGCATCTGAAACCTTATTTTTTTAAAGACAGGGTTTCATACTGTGTATTTCAGACTGGACTGGAACTCATGTAGCCCAGGCTGGCCTTGAATTTGGGGTAACTCTCCTACCTCAGCCTCCCAAGTGCTGGGATTACATGTGTGCGCCACCATGGCTGGCTAAAACCTACATTTATCTGATTGCTTCTTCATAATTGAAATAAGAGGGCTGAGGATTTAGCTCAGTGGTGCCACGCCTGCCTTGAAAGCACAAGGTCCTGAGTTTGATCCCCAGTACCCTGCCCCCCCCAAAAAAACTGAAATAAGAAAAAAGGGTAATAACTGCAGGTAGTGACAAATGAGAGGGTTTTTTTTAAAAAAAGTATTTATGAGCTTAACAGATTTTTGTAAATTCATTGTGTTTTACCCAGTTACGTCTTTATTTGTTTGTTTGTTTATTTATTTATTGTACCAGGGATCGAACTTGGGACCTTGCGCTTGCAAGGCAGGCTACAGAACCACTGAGCTAAATCCCCGGCCCTACAGCTATTATTTTTTGATGCTCAAATCGTTTTAACATTGGCCAGTAGGAATTCCATTAAACTGGTTCCTATGTTCATCTTTTTTTTTTTCTTCTTTGTGGTAATGAGGATTGAATACAGGGCCTTCACCCTGAACTACATCCCTAGGTCTAAAATTTTTTTTATTAGGAGAGAGCAGTTTGCCTAGTTGGCTGAGTTGCTCAGGCCGGGATCAGACTCATGATCCTTTTGCCCTAGCCTCTCAGAGTGCTGGGATTATAGGCATGTACCACTGTACCTGACTCCTGTGTTAACCTTTTTGACAGAACCCCATTGGTCTTTGAAAACTTCTTTGTTTCTGCTATATACAGTGAGTATCAGGCTTACCTGATAAACTCTTCCTCAATCTTGGAGTCAGCTACTTCACTAAGGTTATTTTGAGATGAAAATGGTATTTAGAAACAATGTAGTTACTGTGAATACTGCTATTGGGGTGACCTTGCCTTTGAAATCCCCTTTTATGAACAGAAGTAAGATATATGTGTATGTGTATGTGTGTGTGTGTGTTCACTAGTTCATATCAGTATTTTCTCTTACACTGAAAATTCTGGTTTCTAATAAATTCATAATTGTTCAATTTTTCAACAATAGTAATGTTACTATTGTATAATGCTACTGAATGAAGTTTAGGATTCCTTTGTAGTTCTTTTGTATATAGGGTATATCTTAGGTATATAATCTAGTCCTAGACCCTAAAATCATTTGAAAATTTTTTTTGAATATTTTCCCTATGTCATTTAATGTCATTTGGTGTACATTTTAGAGAAATTTGTTTTGTTTTCAGTTTGAGGTCTTTTCCTTTTGCATTTACTTTTGAACATAAGAAATGTTTAGAAATCAAAATATACAAGCATGCAATATTCAGAAAAGTCTCATTTATATGAGAGCAGGTCTTAAATGTGCTCATCTTACAAAATATATGAGGTGATGGATATACTGATTAGCTTGATTTAATTATTTCACAGTGTGTGTGCATATATATATATATATATGTATGTATATGTATATATAAAATATGTTGTACACTGTAGTGATATACAGTTTGTCAGTTATACCTTAAAACTGAGTAGGGATGTTTCAGGCATCCATTCCTATGTTCTACCTACTCCTTGTAGCCACCTATAAACTGTTTTCATTAGTTTCTGGTTGATTCTCACTCCTTTTGCTAGCTATATAATATTCTATTACCTAGGTGTAGCATAATTTATTTTACCAGTTCCCTGTTGATGGATAGTTGAGTTTTTCATCAGTTCTTTCTTTAGTAAATACTTCAGTAAATAACCATGTATGTATTGTCATTTGGTGGGGGGGTGGTATCCAGGTATACAGGGGATGAATCCAGGATCTTCACACTGAGCTACATCCTTAGCCCCCCCCCCCCTTTTTTTTGTACTGGGGATTGACTTGGGACCTTGAGCTTGGGAGACAGGTGGTGGCACCACTGAGCTAAATCCTTGGCCCCCTTCTTAGCCCTTTTTTTTATTTTGAGATAAGGTCTTATTTAGTTTCCCAGGCTGGGATGGAGCTTGCAGTCCTGCCTCTGCTTCCCAGAGTGCTGCAATTACAGATGTATGCTGCCACACCCAGCTACGTATTGTCCTTTCTAATGGGTATATTCACATTTGAAAGATAAATTCCCAAATATGAGATTGCTGAATAAAGGATAAATCCTACCTACAGGCTTGTGTTCTCAAATTGCCTGTCACTTAGGGTTATACCAGTTTGCATTTGGCAACAGTGTAAGAGAGTGCCTCCTACTTGGGAGGCAGAGGCGGGAAGATTGCCATGAGTTCAGGGCCAGCCTGGGCTACATAGTGAGTTCAGGGCCAGCCTGAACTACACAGCAAGACCCTGTCTCAAAAAACCAGAACAAAACAAAAAATCCCCCCAAAAAACACAGTGCCTCCTCCCCTAGTTCTTCCTACTTCCCTTAGGTACTTTTAAGTACCTTCCTTAGGTACTCTCTAATAATTTGGTTTTTTGTTTTGTTTTGTTTCATTTGTTGTTTGGAGACATGGTCTTCCTACGTAATCTAGGCTGGCCTTGAGCTGCTAATCTCCCTCCCTCAGCTTCCCAAAGTGCTGAGATTATAGGTATGCATCACCATGCCCCCGTTATTTTCAGTTTGAGTACAAGAAATATATAATGATGTCTAGGTCTACTAAGATAGTTAAATCAAAAATTTTCTCTTTTTCTTTCTAGAAGTGTTCTAAGATTTAACTTGTCATGTTGACCTTTTTCATTTTGTTTCTTCCTTGAGAAATGTGATGTATTTCAGAATAAATTTATGAATCAAAATCTTCAAACTGTACAGCCATGAATAACAGTGAAGAACACCATTGTCCTTCACTTTTGCCCTAGTAATTATTGTCAAGATTCCCCTTATGGTAAATATGGTTGCTGTAGAAATTATAGTATATAGAAATTACAGTATATATAAGATACACACTAAAGTGCTGTCAACTTGGAGGAATGAGATATGGAAATAAGTGAAAACTTCTTTTCTTACTACTGTGTCTTTTTGCATGTTACAATAATTACTTAAATATTAAATATTATATATATTTTTTTGGTATGAGGGATCGAACTTGGGACCTTGCGTTTGCGAGGCAGGAGGTGGAACCACTGAGCTAAATCCCTGGCCCCTTTATAGAGTCTTTATTAATTTTTATAGTAAAAAGACCGAAAAAAGTGATTAGATCCATGTGTACCAC